GATCTTCAAACTAAACCTATTGAATAAAATTAGATTTTTTCCAATAAAACACATTTTCTGTAAAACAAGCCGTAAATTTTGATTCAAATTTATTTGTGAATTTAAATCTGTTGGTTCTGAATAAAACTTTTATTTTGTCCTTGTTGTTTAATAAAAAGTGGAAGTGTCGGACCGGACCGAGCTGCAGCAGCGAGTCAGGACGACCCGATCACAGGAAGTCCCTGCAGGACAAAATCTCTTTTTTTTTATTATTGTTTCAACTCATCAGCAGATTTTATTTAAATAAAGTTTTATCAGCAGAATCTGCAGGTTTCTGGTGTCTGCATGACCTGCTGGGTCAAATACATCCTGACTGAGACTTTTAATAGAACCAAATAGATTTTATTTTACTTTACTTTATTTCATTTATGTATTTACTGTTATTTAACCAAAGTTTTAAAATCTTAGCTGCTGCTGTTTCAGCTCAGAATCTATGAAACTGAAACCTTTTCATGTTTACCACCGATCAGCTGTGGCAGCCATCTTTAATTAGTTCAATTAGCAAATGTTGCTAATTGTTAGTGTCTGATTTTAAATGGTTTAAAGTAAAAGACTGATTTTTTATTTGAGTCTAAGCTTTGAGTCCAGCAGAGAAAACTCAGCTGGGCCTCCAGGACCTGAGAGCAGGTGAGCTGAAGGCGGAGCCACAGGTGAACAGAGCGCTTCTCCTCCTCTTCATCACAACACACTGTGCTGAAGAACCGTAAGGAAAAATATATATTTACATTTTTATTTGTTAATAAAATAAGTTTTATGTTAAAAACACAAACTTGTGTTTCTGAATCATTTTTATGTCATTTGATCTTTTTTTTCTCTCTGTTGGATGTTTTTTATTTTTGTCTCATCAGGAAACAAATCTCCATGAACTGTGATTTGTGCTGAGTCAGCAGAAAGCAGGTCATTCTGTAAATCTCAACGTGTGTTTTCTGAAAACAGGAAGTTGTGTCTGTGTATAAAAAGTGATGCTGCAGTGGTTTGGATCAGCCTCGTATCGGATCCCGGACCCGACTGAAGAACTTCCTGCCCATCAGTGAGTTCCAGACTTCTTATCATTTTATAATCTGAAGTTTTTATTTTGGAATCTTTTAATTTATCAGATCATATCTGTGAGACAGTTAACATGAGCAAGCTTTTATCTATGATTAAACTGTAGTTAGGAGGTGTTTTAGTTTAATTTTAAAAATTATAATATTTTGCAGGTTATGTATAAAGCTCATAAAAATGTATTAACTTTGAACATTCAATCAAATTTTGTGAAGAGGGAAAGTTGTTATAATCTGAAGGGATTAGAAATGCTTGTAAAACAGGACAGATTTACTTCAGAATAATCTGGTAAATGATTATAAATATTTTGTTTGAGAATGATAAAAGCTAAATTGATAAAGAAATATGAAATTGTATAATTTGTAAAAGACATTGTTTGAGGAGTTTAATATTTGTTTTGTTTNGGGAGGGCGTTGTGCAAAGGTCTGGGGTTTCCCAGTGGGAGCGAGGGGAAAGTGGCCTTCAAGCAACAACATAGTGTTGAAGGAGTTAGGTGTTCCGGAGGTTAGAAGGAGGAAATTCGCCCGCCTGGTGAGCCGGAGGGTCCTGCTCTATTCTTTGGATGTTTTGCGGGACTTCCTACGTGATCCAGGCGGGTGAGGGGAGTGCGCACCCCCATGGCTGCGGAAGCCATGGAATACGCACAAATCGGTGTGGCCAGTTGCCAACCTGTGGGACTGTTGCTTCAACACGCTGAGCCAGTGGGCGACGGCGGGTAGGTGGTGTCAGTCCCCAGGGGAGGGTGTAACTATGACTCTCTTAAGGTAGCCAATTGCC